AGGATTTGAATCCCTGTAGGTTGACAAAACTTTGTTTTGACCTGATATAAATTGAAGAGTGAAGAATTTGGGGGGAAGAGTTAGAGAGATGGTAACACTGCCTTCAGAAGTCTATAGCTCCAGATGGAGTATATGTTGAGAAACAACAGCTTCAAATTTTGACACTTTTGATTAATGAGGGTGTCTATGATTTTATAGCAATGCTTTGACTTATCCTCATACATTTTTGTTGTTGTTAATTGCCATTGAGTCGATATCGACCCATGGAAACACTGTATAGTGTTTCCAAGTAGCAGCCGGTGAGCTTGAACTGCCAGCCTGTGGTTCAAACCAACCATGGAGTCGAGTGCATTAACACACAGCATCACGCAAGGTTAGTGGTTCAAGCTCACCAGTCGCTCCTCGGAAACTTTATACAGGATCTCTATGGGTTGGAACTGACTCAATGGCACTTAGCAACAACAATCCTCATATATAAGTTAGGTTATAGATAGTAAATCAGCCCTGTTTGGAGAGCTCTCAGAACTGTACCTTGATTTGTCCTCCAAGTCCTCCAACAAACATAAGTGTTGAATTGTTTATATCCAGAACCTTAGCTGTTCCAGGGGATTTACTTGTTTTTGTTGGTGGCTTTTGAGTTGAGCTGATTTCCTTTATACTCAATGAACCAGTGTTTCCAAATCTACAGATTACAAAGAATTGCAAAAAGGAACACTTTTAGAATTTCAAGTAAATTGTAGAAAGTTTCTACATCTTTTTCATACCCACCCTCCCTTTGTTCTCTCTGGTTTCCGTTCTGTATCACTCTCCCACTCCCCAGTCCACTTTGAAAAGTCTTGTAGAGTATTTCTTCTAAAACATACACGTCACCTTTCAGATTCCTACTTAAAACAGGTACAGATAATGAGTTAAACAATATTTTGAGGCCTACTGTCTTCATTAGTACTCTTGGTATGGTGCTATAGGATCAGCACTAGACTGCAAAACACAACATTGACAGTTCAAACCTACCAGCAGCTCCTTGGAAACCCTATAAAGGGTAGCTAGGAGTCAGAAGCAACTTGACAGTACTTAGCAACAATACCACCTTCATTAAAGAGCTTTGAGAGCATAGTGGATTACAAAATGAGCTATGAACCACAGGTCAGTCATTCTTCAGGAGAAAGATGAGTCTTTCTGCTCCTGTGAAAATGTACAGCCTCGGAAGCTCTGTATAGGGTTGCTGTGAGTCAGAACCCACTTGGTGGCACACCACAACCACCTCTATCTTCATTTTCAGTTGCTGATAATGTCAAAAGTTAAGTCCACCTCATGGCACCCTCATGTGTGTCAGAGTAGAGTTATGCTTCATAAGGGTTTTGAGAGCTGACTTGTGTAACCAGGCATCTCTTCTAAACCACCTCTGGATGACTCAAACCACAGCCCTTCTGGCTAGCAGGCAAGCATGTTAACCATTTGCACCACACAGGGACTCTACTACCTTGTAAAAACAAAGCAAGATACAAATTCCAGCAACAACAGCAAACTACAATCCTAGAGAAAAGTTGAAAAGAATGACGCACCTCAAATTGCTAAATGTAGTTTTCTTTGGTGAGGGGCTTTAAGGAAGACTTTTGCTTTGTGCTGAATTTTAAGAAAAGGTATATCCATCTTGTATCCGTCATTTCTGTCGTCTACTTCTTCACCATTGCCAATCTCACAAAATTTCTACCATGTTGTCATTTATTCCTCTATTAATACTTCACTGGACTGGCTCCATCTGCTTCACCACTACCGTGCTCAAGGAGACCTAAACTTTTAGCTGTTTCCCTCTTTTGGATTGTTGATTTGGGGTAATAGAGTTTTACTTCTTCTTCTGTTGTTGTTGTTGTTATGTGCCATGGAGTCGGTTCCGACTCATAGTGACTCTGTATAGGGTTTCCGAGGCTGTAAATCTTTACGGGGGCAAAAAGCCTCATCTTTCTCCTGCGGAACGGCTGGTAGTTTCGCACTGCCGACCTTGAGGTTCGCAGCCTGATTCGTAACCACTATGGTACCAGAGCTCCTTTTACTACTTCTATAATAGGGAAAAATTCCTATTCTCTATAGCTAATCTAAACCATATATTCCTTGATTATAATCTGACTTCCTAGAAGTTTCAAAGCCTATTATATATTGTTACAAGCATGTAGTTACTTATAAGATATTAGGCAAATGCAATTTAATATAGAGTCATGCTAGGAGAGAATGTTCACTCTTACCTGGTTACATAGATAGTGTGCCATTTGTTGTTATCAATCGGGAAGTCTGAAAATTCCAATCTTGTGGACCCAGAGCCCACATCCCAGAGGAAGGCCACCTTTCCTCGTCTCATCTCCACAGCCAGGAAATCCTCCTGAGGCAGGGTATTGAGGAAGGGATGAGTTTATACACTTGACGTGCTTTCTGAATTACCAAAACACTAGAGAATGAGATTGTACAGTATTTTCTTCCAAAATTAGAAAAACCAAAACCCAAAAAACAATACTCCGGTTGTCTATAAATGTTCCCCTCCTTGGAGCTGGACCAAGACTCAGATCCTCTGGAATGGTAACCACTACTGTACACTCTCAGCTAGCTCGTGACTGCATGATCCTCCCCAAGGCCTCTTCCAAGCACAGCTCCCAGGTAATACCCCTGCCCATCTGCAGTAGGCCATAGAGCACCTTTGTGCTTACTTGTTTCCCAGTCATTTACTGAGGATGCAATGACTTGATGTGAGACACATAGTAAACCAGGAGCTGTGGCTCCCACATCAGAAATGTGCATGCATTTTGCACATGATCTTCTAAGAAGTCATGGCAAGTAGCATATGGCCTTCTAACATTTTCTGTCCTTACACACCCAAAGGTTCTGGCCAATTCCTACTGGCACAGGGGTGCAACCAGGGCTTGCTCCACAGGGGGCATTCCCTCTGGGAACCCCCAGAATCTAAGCTTGAAATTTGGATATGCCCAACTAGGGTACATGCCTCTCCTCTCCTGCTGATAACCACCAACACTGATTTTACAGACCCAAAGCTGAACGCATTCCTTCAGGGTCACAATGGGTCCTGCAGAGTTCTGTTTTCAGGCTTATGATTAAGATGGTAAGGAGATGAAATTTTCTGAAATATCATTTTCCTTTTCATGAGGATGTACCTTTGTCATGTGATTATTTTTAATCTAATGCCACTAGTTAAGCAAAAATTTAGCTCTCTTAGCAGAATTTGTGATTTTTCCCAAGACCATTCCCCCGCCCCCCCACACACAAAAAATCAGTTCCAAAAATACATATTTCCATAAGAAACCCGTTAATTTCTGCAGGCCTATAACTCACACTGGTGCTGCTCCCAAGGTAGAATAAAAGGTTGTCGGGCTCACTCGTCTTAACATTTAGTGTTAAGGTGTTGTAGTTAGTAGAAGAAATCTGAGGCTGGTAGGCCCGAATGCAATCTCTATCTGCAGACACAGCAACTTTAATCTGCAGAGAAAAGGGGAAGCATCCCCATCATTTCATGACAACATTGGCAGCTCACCCAGAGCTCAAACTGGTTTTCACTGCAAGACAACTTCCCACCTTGATAGCTCATGAAGGCTGGGGTCTCAAAAAGTGAGACATCAGATAATGGTGAAAATTATCCTAGTTCACAAAGTGTTTAAATATAGGAACGTCAGTGATGGATTTTTAAGAGTATTTTAAGTAGGAAACTATTGTGCTCTCATAAATTTTAATTCCTGAAAGCCAAGGACCATATCCAAGCCACCTGAGCCCTCAAAGCATAAAATGGATAGTCAACAATCATTTGGCGAATAAGTGAAGGAGTGATAAATGTATTTATTCAGCAAGTATTTATAGTGTGCTTATTATACTTATTACATATTTCTGTGTTACTGTTGTTTAATATCACAGAGTCCATAGCAATTTTGTATATGGTTTCTGAGAGTGACTGGTAGTTTTGAACTGCTGACCTTGTAGCTAGCAATCCAGTGCTTATCCTACAGTGCCACACCAGGATTCCACATATTTCTATAATTAGTAGTTATTTGTGTATATACCTTATCTTAACCCTAAAGATTATAAGATTGTATCTACCATAGCACTAAGGAGCCCTGGAAGTACAGTGGATTCTGAGTTGGGCTGCTAACCTCAAGGTCAGCTGTCGGAATCTACCAACCACCCTGCTGGAGAAAGATGAGGCTTTCTGCTCCAGAAAAGACTGACAGCCTCAGAAACCCATACAGGGTCACTAGGAGTCCAAATGGAATAGATTACATGGCACTTAACAACAACTAAAATAGAAGCCAAAGCTCAGGTATATAATCTACATACGTTTTCAATAGAAAGGTCCCTTGAGAGAGAACAAAGAACTCCTTTCTCCCAGCTGGACAGACTGAGATGACTAAATACAAGACCAGCAGTCCCAGTTATTCCCCGAGGCCCCATGGGCAAGACAACCACGTGTTCTCTCTCTACTCTTGCAGTTTCCCTGAAACGACCCTCCTTTAGAACACAGCCAGTGCTGTGAGCCCTGCAGGCCATAAGCACATCTGCAAGCTTGTGCTGTCAATGTGCTTGCGTCCTGTGGCACATTTGAACTGCATCTGTGTATGTACATCTCCCAGAGCTGAGGTCCATACTGAATGGACATTCTAAAGAGTACTTGGATTTGTGAAGCTGAATTGGTAAAATGATCAAGTGACATTACATGCAACCAATGGAAATCAGAGTAATGATAGTACTTAGGCAACGTATTCTATCCCACTAGGTTAACAATTATAATCTATAAATCTACATTGAAGCTATAAATGGAATCCCTGAATGGTATGCACAGTAAAAACTCTGTGCTGCCAACCAGAAGGTTGGCAGTACAAGTCCTCTCAGAGGCACCTCAACACAAAGGCTTGGTGATCTACTTCTTAAAAAAAGTCAGCCATTGAAAATCCAATGGATACAAGGGGCTTTCATGGATCAGGGTGGACTTGACATCAACTGTAACTGGGTAGTTATAAATAAATAACGGTAAATCCTCAAAAAGATATGGAGATTTCTAAAAAACATATTGAAGTATACTAAATAAAGTATCTTAATGAATACACTTAAAAGATGCTATGAGAAAGTGAGTTTTATTGAGAGCCAGGTCAGTAGGAGTTCTAGGAGACTGGGGTTATTGGGCGCCATTTCTACAGGAATTCCAGGGCACCTGGTGTTACTCAGAGCGCTCGTGTTCCTACAGGAATGCCGTGCAGGGTAGGATAGGAGCCCCACACTCACAGAAGCAGCTTGTTTCCGGGCCTGGCTGATCAGCAGTTTAATTTCTGATAGGTTTCTGCTCAGGTTCTCTTCTAATATCTTCAAAGGCTTCAACCGATCAAACAAAAGGTTGGCTTGTGTTTCCACATCTTTAACTTTTCTTCCAACTAACAAAGCTAACAAATACAAGGAGGTGAGAGGAGGCAATGAAAGTTGAGGGAGGGAGGACAAAATAAATCTGTTCATTTATTCATTACTAATTCATCAGAATTGTAATGGATATACTACAGATTATCTTAAATAATCAAATCCTTGAAATTTTGGTAAATATATGAGAAGTGCATTGTCTAAGACTGCTAGAGCCTTTTGACTTTTGACTGTGAACAGACTGTGGCGCTGCGAGTTTGTACTTTACAAGCTCAGAGTCTGCATGGTGCCAACTCTGACAATGTGAACAAAAACCACTGACGTACTGGTCTCTGAGGAGTCGCGCATGAGTCCATTTGTTTCTCGTAACGTGGAGTTCACCCTGGACAGGACAGTGGATGTATTCAGGAGCTTTTGGCTCAAAGCCACAACGTCCCTCAGCGTGTTTGCTGCGCTCTGGTTTGCAGATGCGGCCAGCTCTTTGGTGTTAGTTTCTTGGTTTCTGACACCTGAAACGAATTTATACTTGAGCATGCACTGGTGATAACACATGGGGAAAATGTAACACTGGAACAAATAAAATTTTACAGAGAAATGCACTTCAATATTTCTTATTAGTTGAATACAGAATGGGGCTATGTTTTCATGGCAATGCTAAGACTGTCTCTCATGTGCCTCTTCATTACACAACTAGATCACAAAAGCAATGGCTAATTCCCCTGTGCTCAGTGTTTTACCTTAATAAGCTAAACTTCTTTATCCAGTCTCTTTTGTCACCCCCTTTTCATTTTCACTAAACACTGTCTTCAAATTACTCCATGTCTGGATAAGAAGGTTTGGGAAGTTATTTTATTCACCAGTAAAAGTGTTCTGTGCTGGAGGAAGCAGTGTTTGCCTATAACATCAACCAATTGCCAGATAGAACAGCAAATTGTAACTCCATGGTTTCCAGACAAAAACTAGAATTCACAGTGATTCTATAACACTCTGGGTGATGTTTTGATGCCTGGTGTAGGGCTATAGGATAAACATTGAACTGTGAATCATCAGGTATACAGTTCAAACCCACCAGCTGATCCTCAGAAACTCTATACAGTGTTGCTTTAAGTTGGAACCAACTCAACGGCACTTAGCAACAACAACAAATTATCTATTTTAAGGAGCACTAGTGGCACAGTGGGTTAAGCACTGGGCTGCTTACTGCACAGTGAAAGAAAGATGAGGCTGCCTGCTCCTATAGAAACGGAGAGTCTCAGATCCTACAAAGCAGTTCTATTCTTTCCTATACGGTCATTATGGGTTGGAATTGGTTTGATGGCAGTGGTGTGTTTAAGCACAAACAAGGCAACACATTAATATTAGAAGAATCTGCTGAAAGTATATATTTTGAGGGTAAGTAAAAAAGTACAACCACAGTCACAGAGACATGTTTAAATAGGTTTTGTCTGGAATAAACCTATGCATGGATGAACTGGAACTCCAGTAGCAATATTTTTTGACTTCCCTTCTAAGACATTCCCTCTTCTTGCAACTTTTCTGTAAGTCTGAAATTATTTCTGAATAAAAAGTTTTTTAACTGCTTAATCAGTAACTGTTACATTGCCCTTAACTTAAGAAAGGAAGAAAATGCCAGATAAGAAAATTTTCCATTGATTTAAAGGTGAGGAAGAAGTCCAAAGCAAAGCTCCCTATAGTTGTTCCCATGCTTACAATGGAACCATGGCGACAAAAGATCTTTGGAGATGAGTTTGGGTATCTTTTAAGACTTTCAAAACAACAACAGCAAAACCCCAAATGCTTATTAAGAGTTATAAGACATTTGAGGGACTGTAAATAACACCCCAGAGCACAATGATTTTGTAAAAGTTACTCTAATTAACATTTTAATTAGTACTGTATTTCCAAATCATCAATATTAAAGTGATCCACGAGCCTACTATAGAATGTTTTTATTGCCTCATGAATACAAATAAATTTCCACATTTATAATGAATTCAGCATTTTCCATTAAAGCAAATGAAGAACATTCTAGCTTCTTTACTTACTGACCTCTTTGAATTGCTCTTCTTTCTTCTATGGCATGGGCCAAGTTTATTCCCAAAGTAAGCAATTAAGATGGCAGCATGAAGTCTCTAAGGCTTTTGCTTTTATGAGTACAATTCTAGCATTTCAATGCAAATGTTCTGAAGTTATTTGAAAAAAAATAGCCATCTTAACTTTCAAATCAGACTTCTTTGCAAGTCAAAACTGTATCAATCTCTGTCTCATTTAGAGGTAGGACTCATAGTCAGCTGAGCAGCAGCAGTTTCTCAGGCTCTTGTGTAATAGCTTTGCAACGAGAAGGTGGTAATTAAATCCAGAAATCCCTTTCCACTTACCTTCAGGGATTGCTCTAAGTATCAAGAGTGAGTCATTGACCTGCCTGGTAATTTTATCAGCATTCTCTTGAAATCTGTTTACTGCTCTTTTCAATCCACTCCATTTCAATGCAATACCTATTTAAGAGGGAAGAGGGAGAAAAGTGCTTCCTTTTAGGTTAGCCTGCCTACTTATAATAGCCACCAAGGCAATGACTTCCTTTATTACTCCTGATCCCATCTACACAAATGACAGTTTTGCACACAGACTCCCAATATTAAAAGTTTTGCCAACAGACAATGAGTTTATAGAAGCTAAGAATGGGGTTTTAACTTGTCAGGTTACTTTCTACTTTGCTGATTTTCCTTTTTACTAATATATCCTCCTAAATGTCATGTTGAATTTACTTAAGTTCAAGGATAAACAAATGTGTTCAGATCACTCAGAGTTAATCAAACTCACTAACTTTGTACCCATACCTAAATCCTGCTTACCTCTCTCCTTTAGGTTTTAAAGCTCCAAACTCCAGCTCCTGCCTATGGCTCTGCCTCCCAATCTCCCACCTGCTTCCCCTGCAAATGTTCCTCCCTTTTACTTCTGATCACCCCACTCAACCCAATCTTCTTCAAGCTTGACCAATTGTCAATTGAAACGTTTACATTTTAAGTTTCTGTTCATAATATACAATCACATTTGGATTCTGAATACATGGTCAAAAATACCATAAGAATTTAAGAAATCCTTGATGAGTATTGTAGTTCTGCCTAACATTTTAAATGCTACAGAGTTCACTATTTCATGGTCTAGAAAATATCTTTGATTGTTGTGTAAATTGAAACCACAGCTCATCAACATTGCTGTCAGTTTTCATGCCTTACGATCAGCAATGTGCACATTCTATACTGCAAGAAAACATTATTTCTAAGTGGTGTCCATAATAGAGATACTAAAGCCATGACATATCTGAGCTCTTGGTTCAGACAGCTGTGGAAGGAGCCAGTAGCAGACACGGAAGTAGTCTATTGACTCCTATGGGAAAATTGCTGATATTTTTGATATTTTAGGATATATTATGGTGAAAAGCATACTATCTGCTATAAAAATTTATCAGCCTACATAGTTTCTTTTGTAAGTATCTTATTCAACTGACTCTTGTTTTCATGTTGCATTATGTTTGTATAGGGTCATTATGAGTCAGAACTCACTTGATGGCACTTAACAATATATGCAAAGTAACTGCTTATCAAAATTCTTAGGAAGAACTAAATGCAATTAATGTGAAAGTTATGAGTCAATTATGATTTAATTTGATAATATCAAATATGAACCTGCCATGGGTCTAATATTATATTTCCTGGGAAATGGTAAAATTAATATCAAACATACCATATTTCTGTAAGGAACTGTAGACTACATGCAATCAAAGATGACCTAACCCAACAAATACTATGAAGAACGATGACAGCTCACACAAGCAAAAGCAATGAATGTAAAATCTAACTATAAAGAAAGCTTAAAGTGTCTATGGAAGATAAGAGATATGGACTTGAGTGTGTTTCTATGATAGGTCTGGAATAGTAACGTGACAACAAAATGCTAATCTGAAAATTACGTTGAAAAAAGGAAACATTCTTACAGATTGCTCAGGGATCTGCCCACATTCATTCTGTTTATAAACACTGTCAATTCCAGGAAACTGACCTTGGTGCCTCCTATTCAGGCCACTGCCTTCCCTCAGGTATTTGGAACTGCGATGGAGAGCCACTCTTCCATTAGAAACAAGGACGTCTGAGAACTGGAAAATAGAACAACTTGAACATAGTTACTGGAGGGCAGGTGGAATCTAGCTGGAGACAAAGAAGACAACTCTCTCCGAGTAGCCTCCAGTCAAGTTCCAACAAGAAAGGAAACTGGACAACAGAAAGAATACAAAGACTGTTAAGTGTATAAAGAGGAAAACACACATTACACAAAGATTTTACCACAGGTAAAGAAAGGTATCTCAAGCAAGTATCAAATCTTTGTCATGATAAGAAGTTGTGTAATTTTCCTCACCTCTACATCACTAGTCCTTGTTGTTGTAAAGTGCCTTCGAGTCACTTCTGACTTATAGTGATCCTGTATAGGGTTTCTAAGGAGTGGCTGGTGAACTTGAACCACTGATCTTGTGGTTCAAAGAGACGGTGCGGTCCACAGAGCCACACCAAGGTAGTTTTTCTAAAAATATTATTATCCTAAGAAATTGAAACCTATATATGATGATTGAAACCATACACAGATTCCACAAGAAAAAGACTGTCAAGAAGCATAGAGTTTGGCCTCTGTGCCTTATGGGAAAATCTCTGGAGAGTGCCTAGAGAAGGCATGCACACAGAGCATTCCTTACCAGGCTTGCTTCAGCTCCAGTCCTGAGAGCGTGGTTTGCCAGTCTCTCTGATTCTTCAATCAGGCTTTGAATGTTGGAATGGCCATAGACTGCATTGGTCACATTCAGGGACACATGTCTGACATTTTCCAGGCCGCTATCAAATTGGCAAAATTAGAGGTGTTATAATAAGCTAAATAAAATTTTATGTTCACTCACTAAAACTATAATTGCCTCCCATTCTTGAAAGTCTCCTCCTAGTTTTCCCTTTAAAACGTATCAATAATGATGAACAACATATGGATTCTCTTCGAACTCCAAGAGTAATCTTTGAGAAGCAGTAGCCAAGTTGTCATGACAACACTCACACTCGCTGTTTAATCTCTACTGAAAGAAGTCATTGCTATTTCCTGTCTTTTTGTTCACTCATCAGTTTATATCACCCTTATCTAAATTCAAATCCCTGCATATGGCTGTGATGCTGCTGCAAGTTTGCATTGAATATAGTCTGTCCTGAAATGCACTGATTCATTTTCAAAAAGCTTCCTTAGCATATATTGTTACTGTTAGCACTAGTACCCTTGTGCCAGTTCTGACTCATAGCAACTCTGTACAGGGTTTTTGAGGCTGTAAATCTTGGCAGGAGCAGAAATCCTCATCTTTCTCCCACAGAGAGGCTGGTGGGCTTTGAAGTGCAGCACTCCCAAGCATATACAAGGATGCAGAATTTTATCATTCAAATGGTATACACCAATTTGATGAAATTCACTAGAGATTTCCGAGATCGATCAGATAGTATTTTCAATCAGATGAGCTTCATTCTTACAAGTGGGCAAATCGCTTAAAAACTTGCCAACTGGTAATGGTGTAATTTTATCCAGCTCTATCTCGAAAATAAAATCTGACAATTGACACATGAAGAGTAAGTCACTTAATTTTCTCCCCAAAGCTATTGAGTTGAGTGATTCCCAAACTCGTCATGAACAGGTATTACTTGTTACTATTTGATTGGCAAAACCCAGTGATTAAGAAATAAAAGCTAGTGATGTGATTTAACCTTGCGCATTGTATCAAATTTCTTTTACAACTCTTATACTAAGTAATAGAGATTTTATTCTAGCTATGTGGGTAGTCTGAATATATTTTTCCCTTTTGGGAAATGATGAGAGGAGATAAAAAGAAAGAATTTAACTATGCAATCTTAATTTTTTATGCCTGATTCCTGTGGCATATGTACACCTTTGACACACGTAATTAAACACGTAATTTATGTGATACTCTATCTTACATTATTTTTATTGCTTTCTTTTGTGATCTAATTGCTTATCACCAGTATTCCTCAAATTGAAGAAGATACTTTCCCTTCCACAAAACACACCACACCACAAAAGCTAACATGTTTCCATGAATTCAGTTCCTTTCCACCCATACTTTAGAATAAGTTTTAAACAGATCAATTTACCAGTTAGCCCATAATATTATGTAAATCACCAATAAGTCCTAAGATACCAGTTCCCATGAGAATCACCTGGTCACATCCTTGACAAATCAAAACCTAATCTTTGAATTGGGGTTGATTAGGGATGGGGTGTGGGCAGAGGGTGAGGGAACAAAGGCACCAATATTTTTTTAAAACAGAAAGTGTAAATTTTGTTTAAAGGAATTTTAACAGATTAAAGACATATTTAACAAATATTCAAACATTGAAGATAAAAGAATTTTACTGCAGTGGTAGAGTAGACCTTCAGGCAGCAGAAAATGACCGGAGGTGGACTCCTTCAGGGGTTAAGAAAGAGACCTTTGATAACATCTATTCTACATTCTCCATCCATGCATCTTATTGTTGTTAGGTGCTATGGAGTTGATTCCAAGTCAGCAACCTCATGTGACCAAGTAGAACTGCTTCATAGGGTGTCGTAGCTTATAATATTCAAAGAAGCATATAACCCAGTTTTTCTCCTGCAGTGCTGCTGGGTAAGTTAGAACTGCCAACCCTTCAGTTCACAGCCAAGGGCTTAACCATGTGTGCCACCAGGGCTCCTTCCATCCACGCATAAAGCCATCCAAATCATAAGCTCCAAAAAAGGGAAACAAATGTAAAGAAATTAATATCCTTGTTCAGACACACATGCAACCTCTCAAAGCACAGAACACTTTAATAAGTGCTTAACAAACCTTGAGGGCTAGATATAGCATCATACTCATTTCAATTTCTATACACTTCCATTTGCATTTTTCATCATGTATTTGTTTTGATGTTGTTCAGTAAACTATGTTACCAGACTCCTACTTGACATGTACAGTGTTGTTATGTGCCATTGAGTCGGTTGATTCACAATGACCCTTCATAGGGTTTCCAAGAGCAGTTGGTGGGTTTGAAATACTGACTTTTAATTTATCAGTCCAGTGCTTATCCTCAGCAATGAGAACTCTCATGTTTGCACAAAGGAAGAAGAATGACTCAATATTGTAAAGAAGTAATCATTCTTATTCTCTTTAATCAACAGGGCATGATCTCTCAAATTCCTGTACAGGTGTGGGCTTACCTGTCCAGAACACCTGATAGTCTTTTGAGCTCAGCAGCATGATCCTCAGCTCTGTAGACAAGGTCAAGTGCTTTTCTTCTGGACATCTGCATGACCAAGTCATCTACATGGCCCCTAAGCTTTGCATTCCACAGAAGTAGCTCATCCCGGTGATTCTCTAACTGCTACATAGAGAAATCAAAATGTAAACATGTTGATGCAGACTCATGACAAGCTCATGTGTTTCAGAGCTCCCTAGGGCTTTCAATGGCTAATTTCAACTGTGTTCCCTAGGGATTTCAATGGCTAATTTCAACTGTGCTCCCTAGGGATTTCAATGGCTAATTTTGGGGAAATAGATCACCAGGCCCTTCTTCTGAGGCTCCTCTAAGCAGACTTGAACCTCAGTTATAAGCTGAGCACATTGAGCATTTTCACCACCCAGGGACTCCTGTAGATGTGTGCATATCTGTGAGGTGCATGCAGACCCTTTTGATACAGTTTTGAAGCTGTGCTTACATTTAGAGCATTTTGGGCAGCGTTTGCGTGTACAGTGGTAACATCTATCAATCCTCTTCCTTTGGCAATTAGCTTTGAAGTCAAGTTTTGTTCTTCTTGAACATGCAGCTTTTTATCCTGTAGCAAAAAAATCACCTGTTAAGGGTACTTTATAAAAGCAAGCCAACTTGCTAACACTGGAGTCTTATGCTTTGTGCTGAAGTTAATACTTGGTGACTCACTTTTTAAGGCTCTGATAAGGGTACAATTTACATTGGGAAATTTGGTCACTAGCTCTCATCCAAAAGGTGAGATTGGCTTAAGACTCACCTTGAATTCTTTCATAGTGGCATTGATAATGAGCAGAAGACGGCTGCTTTCCTGGGTCTTTGAATTGGCTTCATGAAGTAAGACTTTGCCTGCCTGCAGTTCACTGTTGTGCTTTGAAAGGAGGCTGTTGACTGCTGCTTTTAATGCCTTCAACTCTTCCTGTGGGTTCTGGTAATTGTTCTGGATTTGTGACAGCAAATCTTCAGCAGCTCTGATAGGTATAAATGTCTCAGATAGTAAGTAAATGGACACTAAAACTCAAATCTCTGAAACAATGTAAAAGGAATATTTACAAATTCATACCTATTTTCTTCTTGAAATCATGAATGATAAATACCAACCTTTTAAAAATGGAAACAATTGTGCTAAGACAGCTACAGGTATGGCAAATTTATACTTTATGGATTATTTTTATTCTCAAGATTGCTAACACAATTTTGTAATGGACTTGAAAGTAAGCATCCTACTGAGCCTGGATTCAGACAATTGGGACTCAGTCCATATGAATGATATGAGACTGCAATCTTTCATCGTAATAAGGTTACAAAATGGAAAGATGAAGGTTATCTAGTGATTTACCATGAATTTACCAATATGACATAAAATTTTTCTGCAGCTAGTAAAGAGGTGTTCCACGGGAGAAAGATGAGGTTTTCTGCTCCCGTAAAGATTTACAGCCTCAGATACCCTGTACAGGGCCGCTATGAGTTGGAACCGACTCCACGGCACATAATCACCACCACCACAGTTAAGAGGTATTTATAAAACATTCAAATTGTTAGAGACAGTTTGTACCATTGGTAAGTGCTAGCTTTAGAAATAAAAAGACACCATTTTTTTCCTCTTTCATTACATATGTTGTTGTTGTTGTTAAGTGCCATAGAGTCGGTTCTGACCCATAGCAACCCTGAACAGGGTTTCCAAGGCTGTAAATCTTTACGGAAGCAGAAAGCCTCATCTTTCTCCCGTGGAGCAGCTGGTAGTTTTGAACTGCTGACCTTGCGGTTTGCAGCCCGATTCGTAACCACGATGCTACCAGAGCTCCTTTGCATATAGGCTATCAAATTGTTTATTTAAATCAATTTTGAACTTATAGTTACATAGGAAAATACATTTTCACACTGCAAATCTTTGAGATGGTACATATATCCCATTAATTCTCTGCTTCAATGCATCAGAAGAACTTTCAAAAGTTTCACAGGAAACGCCTTGTAAAACATCTTGCCTATTCACAGACACCAGACCATTGGGTTACGACACTACAGAAAGCATTTTTTCAACAATGTATACTTAAACTCTAACAACCTGAGAACAATATAAGGAGTTATTTGAACATTTCTATTATTTTTAATGATAATAAAGATGCGTGAACCCATCAACAGGAACTAAAACAAAGTACATGGTAAATAGACAAGTATATCCCATATATTTGCCTGATCATGAACTGAACATTCCTTGTCATTAAAAAAGATATTTCTCTTGA